TTGTCTTATTCCCACACTGACTGTTCCTGTCACACACTGTCATCCACAAGAGGAGAGAATGTGTCCCTTTAAATGTGTGCTAAGCAATTCAAAAGATTTATGAAGGAGATGATGAGGATAAGGATGATCTTTTTAGGGGGATTACTGAGTGCCACTGCTAAACTATGTGTTATTTGCAGGTTGATTGTTCATGTGCAAAGTCTTCCCACAGCATAAGCATCACACGATTTTATTTTAGACAGGAAAGAGTACAGGTGTTTATATGAATTGTGATGTTGTTCAGATAGAACAACCGAAGCCACGTTTGAAATGTAGTGTGGGTTTGAGGCACATGGCATCTTGTAAGGCCAGTGCTGGCAGGTTGTCCCCTTCAAAAACAGTAGTGGGTTGTACTTTCCTTTCTCTGCAAGATGGGCTTCCTTTTCCTGTGTACTTCCCTTTAGGATTTCTGGTAGATCCCAATTCAGAGCAGTTAGTTTATCACTTGATCCACTTCTGAAAGAATGGCTGAGATGAGACAATAATTTAAGGTCAAGTAGGCACAAATAATCCAGCACAGACCTCCCTGTTTCTGCTGCTCCAAGATATCCTTGAAGCTGCCACATCCTCTTGCATTCAGTCGCCAACCCTCTCCATCTGAAGAGGAGACAAAGCAGGTCTGGACTGCATTACCAGTCAGGAATTTGAAAAGTGTGCCTGCAGCTAAGTCCCCTGGATTCAGTTTAAAATATTCTGGGGATATGGCTGAATAGTGCACTGCCTGGCATGTGTGCGGCCTGGGTTCGATCCTCAGCATCACATACAAAGATGTTGTGTCAGCCGAAAACTAAAAAATAAATATTAAAGAAAAAGCAGTAAAAAAGTTTAGTTCATCAGAACCTAGACAGTCAAAATTTAATTTTGGCTGCTGTTGGCTGGACTCATTTTTTTTTTAATTTTTCCCTCCAACACCTGGCTCTTTGCTAGAGTCTCTGAAACAGCAATGTGATCCATGGTGGTTTCCAGTGCATCCAATGTCATTGAATCCAGATTAAATAGAAAACTTTGCTCTCTGTGTGGTTGATATGTGATGAAGGTGTAAAATATGGGCAAAAATTAGATAGTTGTTATTAAAATGGAAAGGCAAATGTTCATACTATTCAACTGAAATATCTTTGGATCTAAAGTTAGTGTTTTCAATTTCTATAGTGTTACATTTTCATACTCCTCTTATGTAGGTGTATGCTGAATATTTGGGGTGAAATGACCCTCTCACCTTCATTTCTGATTTCTCAGAGCCTATAGACCA